GATCCCCGATGGACGGCTCTGTGAGATCAACTTTCCCTAAGCAGGATCTGTCTCCAGAAAGCCAGCCTTGGGGGAAAGCAGCCAAAGAAACACCACAAAACAAGTGGGAGCCACTTTTCAACTCTGATGCAATCGTTGCAGGAGCCCGAGCTGAACCCACGGGCTGAGACGACGTTGTGGAGACAGGTGTGCCAACTTGACGGAGACTTCGAGCATCGCCCTGGGGACGGGGCCCCTGCGAGGCGTGTGAACTCGTACCTGAGCTCACAGCTTGCTTGCTAACAGCTTCGGCCGAGGGGGCACCCGGGCGAGTCTCTCCGAAGACTCCGGTCCGACCAGTTGGAACATGTGTATGTTTTCATTTAGCATTTTTAGACATTTCTAAACACATTTCCTCGTGAGGAAAAGCATATTTTTCTTGCAGAAAGACAGGCTATTTCTGGGAGCACATTGTTCTAGGGCTTGTGTGACCCAGCTCGGTCCATGTCCTCCCTCCTCCCCTTTCTCTCTGAGGCTCCATGTCCCTGTGTCCTCAGCGTCTGGGGCCTGCCTTCCAGGGAGGGGAGGGGGAGTCGCGGAGGGGGGACAGCTCCAGTCGGAGGGGACGGGAGCAGTGATGGAGACGGTGGTGGTGGTGGCCGCACAGCAGCACGAATGTACTAACACCACGGAACTGGGCATCAGAAATCGTTAAAACGGTAATGACATCTGTTGAATGGGATAAAACCATCCACACGAGAAAGAGGAAACGGAGGCCGGGCCGCACACAACCGTGCGGGGCGTGCTCGGCCCTGAGCTCCTGCGCAGGGGCCTCTGCACGCGCAGTGAGGGGAAGAGCTGGGCCCGAGGCCCGCACAGCCTCGGACAAGCCCCGGTCCCCGCCTGCCTCCCCCACAGGCCCCCTGAGAGAAGCAGAGGGCGCCGTGTGCGGGGCGGCCGCTGTGTGCACAGCAGACGGGCACCTCCTCCCACGTCTGAGGGCGCCGAGCAGCCCCGCCCGATCCACAGCCGCCTGCAGCTGAGGGATGGGACCCACCTGGCGACCCCACCCGCCAGCAGGGCCGCGGCCGCCGTGGAGGAGCCAGCTGAGAAGTGCCAACGGCTTAAGATGGTGACCCAGTTTAAATTTCTACATCAATACAGATTTTAACCCCAAATAACTGATTCCATATGATAATTGTGCCGTCACAGGAAAGTGTAAAATTCACCTTCCAAAGTGCTGACCCACGGGGCTGCGCTGGCGATGTGTCCACCACGGGACACGTGGGAGAAGCATCGTTGCTCAAGGGTCCGTGTCTCGCTGTGAAAATGAGACCGAAGGTCTACACTTAAGACACTGAGGTTACGATGAAAGAAGTCCCTTCCTGGGCACCCTCCCCCAGACAGACAGACAGACACACACACGCCCCTGTCGTGAGGGTGGGGAGACGCCCATCACCCTGCCCCTGACCTGAGGCCCCTGGGCTGGTCCCTAGGCGCTCGTCCTGCTCACTCCTAGGCCTGGGCCGGCGTCAAGATCTCCCACCTGTGGAATATGGTCAGCGGTTTCCTCGGGTTTCCTCGGGCTCCCTCCAGGTGCCCCTTCCGGCTCCTGCCCAGCACAGCACACCGGGCGCCCCCCCCAGACCGTCAGGCCACTGTCAGGTCAGCAGCCGCAGGACGGCAGCAGAACACAAAGCACGAAAAGACCAGAAAGCTCGTCGCGAAGCCCACACTTCCGAGGACCATTCAGGGCTCCGAGGAAATGCTGATCGGCAGGATCTTCAGTCCCAACCTCTCCTCTTCAAGCATCACTCCCTCCCACCCTGTCTAGCTGTCCCGGGAGATGCGTCTTTTAGGAGAGAAGAGACAGAAGTTAGAGCCCCAATCCCGCCCGACTGACAAGTGACGGGGGGAGGGATGCAGCCTGGCTCCTCCTCGGGACGCGCCCAGGACAGGCCAGGCCGCCCCAGCAGACTCCCTATCTGCTGTCCCATGAGTTTCCTCGGACAGGTCAGAGCTGAGACTCAGGTGCAGAACCAGGTTTCCCACAGCCCACCCACGGGCAGGTCACGGTCACCACGCAGACTAACAACAGGTTAGCGACAGCACAGGACAGACGAGTGGTTCCTGACGTCTCCCTGAATTGACTGAACTTCATTTAAACCTCAAAATAGCCTGTGTTGCCCGGCCAGCCTGACTCAGCAGTTGAGCATCAACCTAGGATCAGGAGATTGAGGTCTGATTCCCCGCCAGGGCACAAGCCCAAGTCCGATCAATGACTCTCTCATGGATGTTTCTCTCTCTCTCTCCCTCTCCCTGCAATGAATAAAAATATATATGTATTAAAAAAACACACCAGCCCGCGTTGCAGTTACCATCATCCCATTGTGCAGATGCAGAAACTGAGGGTTAAACACCCTTCTCAAGGTGGTAAGGCTGCAGTCAAGGTCCAGCGTGGGGGCTAGAGCCTGACCTCCTCCACCGAGGTGCGGCCCCGCTGGAACGTGAGGTAGACAGAATTCATCACCCCAAGGGGGCAGCTGAGTTCCTGGGGGAGAGGCCGTGACGGAGTGGGCAGTGACCCTCACTGCAGCCACTGTTGGCTGGCCACCAGGGAATATGGGGACCAGCCAGTGCTGGGGCTCACACATGCCATCGCCAATGACCGGCCGGTTCCCACACTGGTCCTTAGTGAAGGCCTTTCCTCCCACTCCCCCCACACTGACCCGGGAGCTGCTGCTGGCCTGTGCCCCTGGTACACAGCGTGAGGCCCGGCCCTCAGCACTTCTTCATTGGCTAAATGGACAACACACAGATGGACACACAATGGACAGGTAGATGGCGGGTGACCTAAGGTGGAGGAGCCCACGCACACACCTTTCCCTTCGTCCTGGGCCAGCACCGAGGGGCCTGCCTGAATAAACAGGTAAGAGTGGCGCAGGAGTTGCCTACCATGAATAATTCAGAGCCCCTCAAGCATTCAAAACCTCCTGTTCTCTCCAGTAACCTAATTTCTCATGTTTACTTACTTTGCAAACCTTTAAATACTTTAAATTTTAATGAAAGTAATAAACGCATGTTTAACATATAAAATAGAGCAGAGGGCTGATTAGCCAGAGAGAGGGAGGGAGGGACAGAGGAGAGGAGGGGGGCCTCAGCCACCTCCCCACCTCCACACCTGCTCCTGGGAGGGGGCCACTTCAACCAGCTGGAGGTGAGACCTCCGAGGGTCACCTTCCTACTTTGTGATAAATCTAAGGCGCCTTTTTTTTAATTTTTTAAAATTTATTTCAGAGAGAGGAAGGGAGAAACATACATGATGCAAGTCATTGATGGGCTGCATCCCGCACGCCCGACTGGGGATCAAGCCCACAACCCGGGCATGTGCCCTGACTGGGAATCAAACTGCGACCTCCCGGTTCATAGGTCAGTGCTCAACCATTGAGCCACACTGGCCGGGCCTAAGGCGCCTTCATGATCAGCTTCGGTGCTAGCCCTGCTGACAGGTAAGGACGGGTAAAGAAGTGGCTCCCTGCCCTGGCCCCTGCTCCCAGCATGTTCACAGCAGAGTCTGAGGCACATCTGCCATTGTCTCTGCAGCCATCAGAGGTTCACAGCACCTCCCTTGACGAGGGAAGTGCCCCGATATCCACCATGCACATGCAGGTGGCCGCATGGTCACCCGCCCCCTCCCGTCCTCTCCTCTGCCACTGACAGATGCTTCACCTTGTTAAGGTTGACAACACTGGTCTATTTTTACTCATAATTAATTCTCCTGTGCTTTGCCGTACAGTCTAGAAAGCTGAAAGCCAGTTAACCTGAGTCAGTCAGCAGAGCTGATCACCAGAGCGGTAAACCCCACAGTGAGGAGGGGCGCCAGCACAAGCGCGCTTCCTGCGTACCTGCTGGAGAAGGGAGGCAGTACCCGAGCAGCCAGTTGGGCTGAGGTGCGAGGCTCTGCCACCTTGACCCGGTGACCTCCGTGGCCCTCCTGGGTGTCCCACTTCAGCCACACCCCAGGAAACTGGTGCAGGGTCCACCCACCGGTGGGCGGCGCCTGGTCAGAGGCGCCCCAAATGGGAGGTCCCCTGGCCAGGCGACCCCTGCATCTGGGAACTATGCGCCTTTCCTACGCTTACTCCCGGCCGTCCTACTATGTGCTGTGACTGCTCTACGGGCCTCCTTACAGGCCTGGAGGTGGGCGGGAATAAGAGGAAGAGAGAAGTGGGGAGGCTCTGCCTTCCCTGAGAGCTGAGAATTTGCTGGGGAGACCAGAGCTTCCTGCTGGATTCTGCTGTCCTTGGGAATTTATAGGGCGTGGCACATTTAACTAGCTGACGAAAGCCTCCACTCCTCAAGGTTTGCTTGCTCTGCTCCCCCTCCACGGCCCCTCGAGACCCTCTCCTCCAGGCATGGGGTCACTGTGTGAGTTAAACCATCACTGGCCCATGGGGATGGCAATCCCAGGGGCCCGAGCTGCTGCTTGTGGCTTCCTGTGTTGCCTGGACCACCCTGCATGTGACTCCAGGCCTCTCTCAGGAAGAAGCTGTGCACACTGCAGTCCTCAGTTGTGACAGAGAAACAGCGGCTTGTCCCTGAAGGCCCTCTAGGTGATGACACTCTCTAGGGACAGGTGACCATGGATCCTGCTGACTGTGGCATCCCCTGGGCCGGGCATGTCACACGGTATTGGAGAGTCAGGTGTTGGGTTCCTCTCCCTACACATGCACAAGGGCCACACCTGGGAACCAGGAGTTTGCTGACCAGTCCGGAGTCCTGCCCTGTGCTGGCCAGGAGGGCATCACCCCAATAGCCACGAGACGACCAGGGCTCCCCAGGCCCACTGGCACAGACACCAGGGCTCACGCAGACCCCTGCAGCTCCTGAGATTTGCGCCAGAGTAGATAGGAGTGCCCTGTGCCTCTGCCTTTGTTTGGGTGGGACCAAGAAAGTGAAAAGAGACCACGGAAGAGACCACCAAGGGCAAAGTTCCTGAAAGAATAAGCCAGGAGCCCACATGACAGACAGCATCGTGTATTTATCTCATTTTAATGTCAAGAAAAAGGCGAGTTAGTATTACGGAAACAGAGATTGTTTTTTATAGTGAAACAAACCCCCAACATTCCTAAAGGAGAGAAGAGAGAGAGGGCCAACTGGGCAGACAGGATCATGGGCAGCCAGATGGTCCCCGAGGTCTGCAGGCTGAGGTCTCCCTGTCCTGCGAGGGGATTCAATTCATGTGTCAGCTGTGCCGCTGGGCCCAGCTCCGTCCCGAGAGGCATGACGCTGGTCCTCCCGGAGAGGGGTCTGCTGGGAAACAAACGCCCTTGGAACCCAATGCTCAGAGCAGGATGTGGTACTTCAGCGCCCGGGGAACCCTGTTGATAACGAGCCGCCCGTCGTAACTCAGGGAGGCAAAGAGCCAGGGGTCGGCCGAGGACCAGTCCACAGCGTACACGCTGTCCTCATGTTCCTCATACGTGGCAATGACGCCATCCTGCGGGGGCTCCTGGCTCCTGCAAGGACCAGAGACACGCATGAGCAAGGCCGGCCTGGGCTGCTGCTCTGCGCAACAACGGTGCGCCTGTGAAAACACATTCCGGTCACACTCCAGTGTCTCCGGGCAAAGGGTGCAGGGGACCTGCCTGGGTTGCGGTGGAAGGGCCGGCTGACAGTCCCTAGTTGCCCCCGGCCGGCGTGGCCCACAGTCCACACACTGCCTGGCACGTGACAGCAAGAAGGGACAGTGCTGGTCATCTGTCACAGGGACCATTGGACAATCGACAGACGTTAGTTAGCTCCTATTATCACCGAAGTTTAAAGACTAGCAACAACTTAAAACCTCATGTAAGAAAATGAAAAGTCATCAGCATAAGTATGTGTTTGTGTCCACACCTGAAGGCGCTAGACCCCCCCAGCCAGCTCCACCCCATCCTGGGTGCTAATTACTTCCAGAACTGGCCCCCACCGTGCCTGCAGTGGGGCCCTCACCCAACCACATGCCAGAAGCTTCTGGCCAGAGCCAGGCGACCCAGAGACACTTGTGAGGAAAGTGAGCTCCCCCACCGCCCACAGCTCTTACTTGTCCTCTGGACGGCGATCCTCCTGGTCACTCAGGTCATCATCGTCCACCAGGTGGCCAAAGGGCTCGGAGGAGATGGACACCATGTTGGAGAGGATGACCCTGCTGTCGCTGCTGCCCGTGAGGACCAGCTGGTCATGCGAGTGGTTGTAGCGGACGTTCCACACCCTGGGGGCAAGGAGACCATGCTCACAGGGCTGGAGCCTCCCTGGACCGCAAGCAGGGGTCACCAGGCCACCACCCCAGGTCGCTGGGTCTGATGCTGGGCAGTGTCCACCAGGAGGGCAGGCTTATCCTGTTCCTCTGAAACCGTCTCTTACCCCCAACAACAGAGATGAGACCTGATGGTGGCACAAGCCTCAGTGAGAGGAAGGCTGACTGCCCAGGACTATAGATATGACAGAAGCCAAACCCTAGGGCACCGGCCCACGAGCCGCAGCTACGGAGGAAGGAGCTCTGGGTCTGGGTCATGGCCCAGTTTCCCCCAACACAGGCCCAGGGAGCTGGGAGGGCTGAGTGCCTGCCATGCCAGGTGGCTGCTGCTCCGGCCAGACGGTGGAGAGGGCCTGGCAGCCACACGCAGGGGCAGGCGTTTCTGCCCGCACAGCAGTGATTACAGCAGTTACTGAGTTTGTTAAAACTATGCACGAGCGAGCATTCTGGGATTTTTAATTTTCTGGCTACAAAAACAATATAGCTTCTGGTAAGTAATTCGAGGAATTCAGACACAGAGACCAGAGGCAACGTTCCATGACATTCCTCTAGGCCTCAGCGAGGGCTCCAGACAGCACACTCTCCATACACCTCCTCTGTATGCACACACGTGCACTCCCGCACAAGCACGCACACACATGCAGCACGTGCACAAACAAAGGCTTTAATAAAACTTCTCCTCCTGTGCACACTATTCTACATGCTGATCTCACTTACTGAACCAGAGCATCCCTGTGATCCACGCTCCAACACTGCTTCAGAGGCGGGATGGCCCCTGGGCATGCCCTGCGCCCTGTGCCCTGCACACAGCTACCCCCTCCCTGTCTCAGCGGCACTGTCCCCCCCATGGATCCTCTGCCCTGCGCTATGCACACAGCTACCCCCCTCCCTGTCCCAGGGGCACTGTTCCCAGCATGCATCCCGTCTGGATGGGCACATGGGGTTTCCAGCACCCCCACGTTGCAGACAATGCGTGTGAACATCTGTGCACATTCATCTCTGCACATTTGAACGGGCACCATCTCCAGAGAACACAGAACCTAGTGCTTCTCTCCTTTCCTACGTTCATAAATCATAAACATTCAGATCTGGAATTAGTGTTTCTTAGAAAAGATAAAGCCGGTTGATGGAAAGATTCACAGCAGCACAAACTAAGCTGGTTAGTGCCTTTCCAACTAATAAAGTAATTAGCAAAATAAATCACTTAACCCCGCTCCCTGAGCCAGCATGCAGGAAGCCACTACCAGTGGGAGTGCTCCTCAAGGGTCTTCACAGGCTCGGTGACATTGCGGGTATCCCAGAACTTGACCTTGCAGTCGTCCCCACAGCTTGCAAGGTAGTACTGCTTGTTGGGGTTGAAGTCCAGGTCCCGCACCAGCTGCCCATGGGCGTTCTCCATGCAGTAGATCTGGCTGAGAGAGAGAAGTACACGGTGTGAGGCAGGTGGGACAGCCTGACCCCAGACCCGCAGTGTCTGCCCCATCCAGGCCCCAGGCATCTAGCCTGGGCTCCTGCTCCATGAGGCCAGCAGCACCAAAAGTGGCTGCGGATGCCAGGGAGCCTGGGGCCTACCTCAGCGCCTCCTGCAGGGGTGACGCAGGCACTTGGGAGTGACGCTGGTCTACAGCCATCACATGTGATATGGTTCCTTGGGCATGAGAATGGGCCAGAGAGCCTGAGCCTGCCCAGAGAAGCAGAGACAGGCTCTGGGTCCGACAGGGACACATGTCTGGAAGGATGTCGTGAGGAAAGGAAACAAGAAAGGACAGGAGGGAGACCCGGAGGCATATGCACTGCTGTCGGTTTCGGGAGAGACTCAGAGAAGGAAGAGTAAGACAGGAGAGCGGCACAGACACGAGGGTCGGTGTTTGCTGTTGGTGGGCTGGTCCTTTACCACTCACACCACTCAGTGCTAACGCTGCAGGCGCCTTCTCCAGGGTCCCATGCAGCCCACCTGTTCTGCACCCAGCAGCTGCAGGCAGAGACACGCATGTGCACAGGTGCACGGCACACGTGCATGCACATGCCACATACTCCAACTTCCACTGCTCTAGGCTGCGCCTCACAGGGTCTGAAATCAGACTGTATGTCTGTGCCTATGATGTCTCAAGCAGCAGGCGGACAGCGGTAAAGCGGGACAGTAATTAGGAACCAAAGGCCTGTGTCTGGTCAGCACAGGGCAAGGACCTCCACCGGGCCAGTGTCCAACCGTGCCCTGTGCACCACTCCTGCCCACACTGCCCGCTGCACTTCCAGCCTGGGCCATAACCTCCTGTCCCACAGTCACAGCGTAGTGGGGCAGCAGACACTAGGCCGCTCCCCTCCTTGCCATCTCCTCCTCGTGTCTGCAGACCACCCCGGACCTGACATCTCCTGCGCTCCAGTCCCTTTCCTCTTGTCCTCCAGGCTGGATTTTCCGGCCCCAAACCTCTTTTAAATCTTGAACCAGTTTTTATATCCTGCACCTTTCCAATATGCCAATATTTTTTCCTAAAATAAGATACCCTAAGCCTTAAGATTGTCCAAGCGAAACAGGTAATAAACAGTAACTGGGACCGGGTGGACAGCCACGTGTGCACGTGGTATTTACCAAGGTTTCCCGTACACTGTGGTGACATTAATTTTACTACAGAGCACAACACAGTCTACAGCAAACACTGAAACCCCTGGCTCAATAAAACCGAAGCTGTCTGCAGAAATCAAGGGGGGGCCCACATGTCCCCTTAGCTGCTCATCCTCCCAGAGCCGATGAGGCAGAGGCACCCCAGAACCCCATCTGCCAGGTTTGTTTGGGGTCTGCCACGTCACCCTGAGCCTCCTGCCTTCAGACACGGAAAGTCTGCACCCCCTTTAAAGAGCGACACAGAGGAGACAGCTGCCGGGCCTGGGGGGACATCAGGTGCTCTTCGTGGCCTGAGTCCATGGCTCCCAGCTCTGATCAGGAAATCAGACCCTGTGGACAGACGGGCACAGGCTGCAAGTGGCAGCTGCTTCCTCGCTGGCCCGAGTTTGCAGAGTGGCCACAGAACTCAGTTTAAAGTCGTGCCCCCTCACTCGGCCGGGCGCGGCTCAGCGGTTAAGTGTCAACCTAGGATCTGGGAGATCGGGGTTCGATTCCTGGTCAGGGCACATGCCCAGGTTGTGGGCTCGATCCCCAGTCGGGGGCGTGCAGGAGGCGGCCAATCAATGACTCTCTTATCATTGATGTTTCTATCTCTCTCTCCCTCTCCCTTCCTCTCTCTGAAATCAATAAAGATATATTTTTTTTAAAAATAAAAAAGTGCCCCCACCTGGAAGGCAACACAAGTCACTTGGTGACACCGTCTTTGAAGCTTAGTGATAAATGATGGTGTGTAGAGGGGACAGACTGCATCTCACAGAGGCTTGCAGGGTTCCGTTGCCATGACAACAGACATGGCACCATCACTCCTCTGCCTACCAAACCCCACCTGGAACTGCTGGCTCCTGCACATCACGACCAAAATGACAGACTGATCACCCGACAGGCACAGAAATGGTCCCAGATGACTCCACACTCTCAACCAGGGACCATGACCATCAACTAGGGGACCACGATCATCCACTTGTGGTCTCCACCCACAAAGACCGAGAGCAGGTGGTATTGGCAGAAGCCAATCTTAATCGCCTTATAAACAGCCATCGCTGAAGGGACACCCATGTGGAGCACTGAACAGCCAACTGAGCACCCACGGTCCACAGCCATGGCCATGCCAGCTCATGTTGGTGAGGAGAAGCAAAACATGATAAAAACAGAAGCCACGTGACCCCAAATGCAATTGGCCCTGATCAACCCTGTGGATGAAGAGGGGCAGAGAGAGGACGAGGTACCTGGGTGAGCCCTGGGCTCATACCCATCACTGACCTCATGCTCCGTGTGTCCCAACCACGGACTGCAGTGTCATTTGCTGTGGCCACCTGGGTGCAGTTGTGATGTGGGCTCCACCGTCCCGAGGTGAACTTCAGCTGCCCCTTCCCTTCCAGGGATGCTGAGCTGGCCAGCTGCCAAAGGAAGGAGAGGAGAGACATATGATCTCGTCTCAAAAAATGCAGGTGGATCTCCTGTACCCGCAGGAAATCAGTGAACAATCCTGAAAACAGCGGAAACTCGGTCTCTGCTTCCTCCCCTTGAAAGAAAGAATGTGGGACNCTCTCTTATCATTGATGTTTCTATCTCTCTCTCCCTCTCCCTTCCTCTCTCTGAAATCAATAAAGATATATTTTTTTTAAAAATAAAAAAGTGCCCCCACCTGGAAGGCAACACAAGTCACTTGGTGACACCGTCTTTGAAGCTTAGTGATAAATGATGGTGTGTAGAGGGGACAGACTGCATCTCACAGAGGCTTGCAGGGTTCCGTTGCCATGACAACAGACATGGCACCATCACTCCTCTGCCTACCAAACCCCACCTGGAACTGCTGGCTCCTGCACATCACGACCAAAATGACAGACTGATCACCCGACAGGCACAGAAATGGTCCCAGATGACTCCACACTCTCAACCAGGGACCATGACCATCAACTAGGGGACCACGATCATCCACTTGTGGTCTCCACCCACAAAGACCGAGAGCAGGTGGTATTGGCAGAAGCCAATCTTAATCGCCTTATAAACAGCCATCGCTGAAGGGACACCCATGTGGAGCACTGAACAGCCAACTGAGCACCCACGGTCCACAGCCATGGCCATGCCAGCTCATGTTGGTGAGGAGAAGCAAAACATGATAAAAACAGAAGCCACGTGACCCCAAATGCAATTGGCCCTGATCAACCCTGTGGATGAAGAGGGGCAGAGAGAGGACGAGGTACCTGGGTGAGCCCTGGGCTCATACCCATCACTGACCTCATGCTCCGTGTGTCCCAACCACGGACTGCAGTGTCATTTGCTGTGGCCACCTGGGTGCAGTTGTGATGTGGGCTCCACCGTCCCGAGGTGAACTTCAGCTGCCCCTTCCCTTCCAGGGATGCTGAGCTGGCCAGCTGCCAAAGGAAGGAGAGGAGAGACATATGATCTCGTCTCAAAAAATGCAGGTGGATCTCCTGTACCCGCAGGAAATCAGTGAACAATCCTGAAAACAGCGGAAACTCGGTCTCTGCTTCCTCCCCTTGAAAGAAAGAATGTGGGACCTTATTTGGGAAAAACCATGTTAATGGCCCCACTGTTAAACGGCTTGCAGAGTGTAATGAGAGGCAATCTGCTCACACTTGAAAGAACAATAGGAAATAAACATCTGGCTGCCCCCAGAGACAGACATGGAGCAAGTGGGGCCACACAGCCACCTCCAGGTACAGGACAACAGCTGGGCTTCATCTTGTGTCTGAGCATAAGCCCCACGCCCTGCCTTAAGGATCCCCAGATCTGTCACACAGGTGAATTACACCTCCGCAGGTAAGGACGATGACCTCGAGAGACATCCACCGGGCTGTCCTTGGTGAAACCCCCACCTCCTGAGAGCTAGGGGGGCCAGGTCGGAGCCTGGGGTAGGACTCCCTCTTCATCTCATTCCCTCCCAC